GTCGGAAACTTCTCTCCAGCATCCAGAGGAGCATAATAAGATCTAAACAGATAAGTCAGAGTGACCCGTATGACGGATTAAATCTAAGTGGACCTTTTCCAATCCATCCGATTCCTCAGACATGATGATACTGGACAGAAACGTAGAGTAGGAGGAAGACACTCGCACTAACTTTGTTCTTGAAAGTATTCAATATTCTTTTCAGTTAATTCTTCAAGTTTATTTTTCTTCAGCTTGGTTACAGGGAACCTATTACATTGATTCTCGAGTTCATCTGCCTTCTAGTTCTTAGGAGAGTTTTGTCTAATTGGAGTTCCTTGTGGCATTTTTATAAACGTAGTCTTGTCTTATCGTATTCACTGTTGATTATTTGTTCGACTGGATTTACATTAATCCAGTCTGGGGGCAAACAGTGGTGAGGACGTCTGGCCGAGAGGTACCCAAGTGTTCATAATAACCCTGTGGAGTCAGAGCTCGTGTCACCTCATCCCTGAGACAGGTTGAATGGAAAGTTTGAACCGAGGGTTAGGCCTCTAGACGAACGAGAGCCACCATTCAAAACACTCCTGTCTCAGAGCACCTGAGGGGTTTGTGAAAATATCCTGTAAGTAAGGTGCGCGACAAAACTGCCATACGACACTTAGTATCCATTGCAAATCACTAAAACGTCTGGTCGGGTTGTCCGATAAGAGCAGCAGGAGAAGTCCTAGGTCTGGGAGTCGTGACCCAGGCCCCGCCCCTCCTCCTTTCCTCCTTTGCGATATTGTTTAGAGAGATAAATAAAATGTTGAAAGGGGGACGCCAACTGAAGATTGGTATATGCTCCCTCTGTGCAGTTCTTCATATTACTGACTATCATGTACATGAAAATAAGCAGAATTTCATGTCTTTTTAAAATAAGTGTAGGAAGACGTATCTGGACACATGGATAACATCAGATGGAAGATGCATAACTAAGAGAATAAACAGAATAGGACAGGCAAAAACTGCATTTTATAAAATGAAAAACATCTTGTGCAATATATCCTTTTCATTGAGAGTTAGAAAAAGAATTCTTGCTTGCTACATACATCCAGTTTTAACATATGGCTGTGAATCCTGGACAATAGGTAGGCAGGCCAAACAATTTATTGAAGCCTCGGAGATGTTGTTTTACAGAAGAATGCTTAGAATACCTTCGACAGCCAAAAAGAGCAACCAAGAGGTTTTGAAAGAGGCGGGAGCCCGAAGACAACTTATCACAGACATTAAAGGAGACAGTCATCATTTTTCGGCCATATTTTGAGAAGAGGGAAAATAGAACATGTTGTGACCACTGGAAAGATCTGTGAAAGGAGAGATAGAGGAAGGCAACGAGAAAAGATTATTGACAGTCTTGTTACATGGCATGGAGGTGTGTCGGCACACGTACCGATACATGCTGAAGGAGATCGTGGATTATGGAGAGGTATGATCGCCCACGCCAGTCGGTAAGGCACCGGATGATGATGACGATGATGAGTAGGAAGACGGTACACAAATCACAGTGAATGCCGTAGCCACAACTGATTGAACCTCCAACCCTCTCTCTTACTGGTTTTACACTCTCACAGAATGTTGTTTATTGTTTGATTTTATCTGTTCACTCAAATCATTATTTATTGCTTGCTTGCTACCTTCAATGTTTTTACAAAGAGTGGTTTTTATGGAAGTCTTTGTCTTTTTAATGTGACCGAGATGTTTCAATTTTTTAAATAGTTTACTTGTCTAGGATGTCTGTGTTTTTATTGTTTTTCATTTCAGGCTTTATAATTTACATATTTCTCAGTAGTTGACTATCCGCAGCGACATCGAATATGTCAGTCTGTCGACCCTGTCACCCTGCTCTTAGAATGTACAGTTCATTGGCCTTATCAAGAGTTTACCGTTCTGATTCTACGATAATAGAATGAACATATCGGTCTGTGGTAGTTTTAATTAAAACTTAGACAACTACTTTTCGTATGTTAATTAAAAGCCGCAAAGCATGCAGACTGTTAATATAATACAATAGCCAAATGCAAGAAGACATATAAATGTACCATACTGCATTTAGAGGAACAGAATATCACATGAATGTTCACACTGCAAATGTTATCCTTAAATCAACACGCCCACATAATAATTTTGCGAGACCATCTCGTTGTTCACAGTGCAGCTCTGGTTATATGAGCCCAATCGTTCATATTACAAGTTTGTGTTGTAATCAAACGGGTCTACTTGTTCATAATAAAAGGCGACTCGGTAACACTGCAAGTTTGTGATTTCAGCTGACTGGACTACTCGTTCGCAACAGTCTGCTTTTGTGTAAGCTGACAGGACCACTTGTTCCACGTACCGCTAGTGATATGAGTTCGCACTTGTTCACAGTGCGAATTCGATGATACGAGTTGACCGGGATATAATGTAAGGCATATACATTAGAATCAAATATTTGGATAAACAGACAGAGAGATGTGTATACAGACAGACCAGTAGAAATACTGATATTCAGACAGACGTGAAGACAGATAGGAAAGATTGTAGGTAGGCCAGCAGGCAAATATATTTATATAACATACACAGATATCAGGGCAGAAGGATCCTTGGAAGGTATGATGTTGACTGGTGGAGAAGTCGTCAGACACAAGGATGCAAAGATGGATTGGTAGACTGATTTACAGACTGGAAATAGGCAGACAGACAGATAAATATAGTGTTATACAGACAGAAGACAAACCGAAAAACAGAAACAGGTGGATATACAGATAATTTAAACACAGACGAAGAACTGATATAAAAAATAAAAAAAAAACCAAACATTCCTGCACTGTCCAACCGACTAAGGAACCATACGTACCGATAACAAGCGTCATCTTCAAAGTCCGAGACTTGGCCCTTTCAATGTTGCCAATTCCAGACCGTCTGAGTACAGCCAGCTCACTGCCAGTGCCATCATAGACTGGCCCAGAGATCTCGTCTGAGAATATACATCAAGCATTGTTTGGTACTAGCAAGGCTGATTGCAGTCCAAGTGATTAGGACAGTTATTATAATATTCCACATTCATGCACTTACAAACCTAACCCTGATAAACACACTGATACAACACACATACACACGCGCTGGCACAGGCACACGAACGCCCACTGAGTAACATAAGCACACACACACACACACACTCACACACACACACATAATATATATATATTCTTAGTTGACACGTTATCTGTTGCGTAAGGCTGGGCAGAAATTAATAACTGTTAATTACTCTTTGCTAAAAAAAATTCTCCTTTCTTTGGAAGAGAGGCAGATTCACTGTTTTAGTCGTGGCAAATTTGTGCTTCTGACAGACGTTGGGTGTTGCATTTTCTTCAGTTTATAGACTGAAATGATATAGTTTTGTCGCCAAGCTCCTGAGCTGAGTGCATGGTGCGACATTAGGTGCATATGATTTCAATTTGGAATGTTTTTCGACTGTGACCAATGTGGTCTTGTGAAGTGTAAATTCAGAAAACGGTAAATGTTCTTTTGCCACATAATTTGTGGTGCTTTATGCGCTTACAATTATTCTCGTGTGAAACTGTTGATCTGTTTGTAACTACTGCTTTCATCGATGAGGATCTACATTTCAAATGTCAGACCGCTTTTATTAGTACTTTTGATTGGTGCCGTATGCGTTTATTACGTGTGTATGCTAGTAAATACACTAAGACTGCAGTCTCTGTCAGTTTTTACACCGGTGACAGTTCTGTGTGTTTTTCGTTGGCACTAGAACGGAGCAACTATGGGGTGACCTGTTTGCTATGATCTTGAATCTAAGATTACCAGATTACACGGCGAGCTACAGAATATTGGTGCCCAAACAGAATTTCACTTCACTTTAGTTTCTGCCCTGTTTGTATCTATTACTTTAGTTTCTGCCCTGTTTGCATCTGTTAGTTTAGTTTCTGTCCTGTTTGTATCTATTACTTGAGTTTCTGCCCTGTTTGTATTTATTACTTTAGTTTCTGCCCTGTTTGTATCTGTTACTTTAGTTTCTGCCCTGTTTGTATCTATTACTTTAGTTTATGTCCTGTTATTATATGTTAACAAAACTCGTAAATGAGTTTCAAAGGACCAAAACACTCATTTGGAGTAAGATTCGGATTATAGGTGGAGGGTTTGATAACTCAAAAGGAAGTTTTTTCAGTGTCAACATTAGGGGCAGAGATATGAGGACGAGCGCTGCTAAGCAGGGTTACTACGCTTTTAGAAAATATTCCACTGTCTTTAATCCGAATGTTCGACCTCTGTGAATTAGCATCTCATTGCAGTGAGCATTGTTTATTGTTGAACATTGTTGTTACAGTCTTGATCCTTGAGAATCCTTGAAAACTGTTAGCAGCAATTTGGCACAACATAAAGGAGTTCAGCCAACAGATGGTTTGATAAAAGGTAAGTGCGGAAAACTCTTTGACAACATCGGAGCAGCAATTCTGCTTTTCATTGTGCAAGATACTTACTGTTTACTGCATTAAGATGCTCATTCACAGCTGAGGTCGAACATTCGGATGAAAGACAGTGGACTACTTTCCAAGGCGTATTGATCACAATCAAAAGTAGAATTACTACTCCGATGTTGAGTCAAAAGTTATCCGCACACCACGTTTATCGAACCATCTGTTGGCTGCATTCCTTCATGTTGTGAAAAATCTCGGTTGACGTGTTGCTCCTAGAGACAGCGAAGCTACCTGACGTGCACACTGGGATGTTTGATAGGTTGGGCGGACATAGACATTCTCATAGATGTAGGTTTCTGTGCATAGTCTGCAAGTGATTGATTGAGAAGTACTGGGTGTATCACATGGTTATAATATCAGGGATTGTGTAGCTAAGGCATCCGCTCTCAGTACTGAAGTAAGATTATTGTTCCGACTTTACTGTAGAAGTAAGATGTCCTCATTGTCATTTTTGTTGCTGTTGACGTTTGACATCGTGTGACATTTGTAATTTCCCAGATGATGTCACATTGTGATTGGTCCACTAGATTCTAACTAGCACTTTATGCACATAGAGTACATCGTTGTAATCTGTTCCTCTTTGGCAACAGTAAATTTTGGACTGCGGAACTGTATAATTATTTAAGTGTATGCAAGATATTGATGAGAGAGAGAAAAAAAAATCACACTTTTTGGGGTATCTATGGTGTGACACTGACTAGTTTGACAGTCTCATAAAACTGGACTTACAAGTGGTTGTGGAGGAAACAACAATAGTTCATATTCGTACTCTACTTTTTACACGAATCATTAAAAATTCTTCTATTTATTACACACTCCCAATAGCTATCTCATACATGCACACATAAGCATACACACACAAACACACACACACACAAACACACACACACACACACACATAAAGAAAGAGAGAGATGAAGAGAAGAGAAGAAACATTGATGTATTTGACCGTTTAACAACAAAAAATGTGAGTTGCCTAACTGCCGAGTTTAAGTCTAAAAAAAAAAAAAAAAGGAAAGAGTCAAAACATAGTTTACTTACATCTGCTTTGTCTTGACTTTTTAGAGATGCGACACATGATGAAACAGTATGCAGATGTGATAATCGTCAAAGGAAGTCCATATAGTGCGATAATACTGAACAGGTTATAGGCCAACTCGTGGTGTTGAGAGGGGAAAAAATTAAATGTCACACATTGTTTGAACCATGTGTATTTGGGATGACTCTCTACATGAAATATAACACTCTGTGGAAGACGGAAAATAAAGGCAGCATTAAACTGTATCATGGACAATATATGTAACATTAGACTGTATCATAGAAAATACAGGTAACATTAGACTGTAACATGGAAATGTAGGTAACTTTTTATTTGAAAGGCTGTGTTAAAATATAACGTTATAAAGAACAGTTAAGTTTAAAAAAAAATGTATCGCTTGCTTATGTACACGTCTTTCAATAGCAAGTGTGCTTTTTAACAGGTTTTTGAAACCGCCGCCTTAATTGTTTTAGCATTCTAAACCAAAATGGAATCACGTCAAGGGTATCTTCATTTGCTTTTAAAGAGGCATATTTAATATATATTGTTCCATTAACCCCTCTCCCCCCCCCCCCCCCCCCGTTTTATTATTTCCTTTTTTTCCCAATTCCACCCTTTATATTTTGTTTATTTTTGTTAACATTTGTGTTCTGTGGTTTTCCCTTCTGTGACTTTCTTTTTTGCCATTGTGACTAATTTTGTTTTTTGTTTCATTTGTAAATAAAGACTTCGGTTTCAACATTTGTTTATACGAGTATGCGTGTGATTCCTTTATTTTCCTGTCGTTGAGCTTACCAATCATAGTTCGTGTTAGGTAATTTTAAAAAAAAAAAAAAGACAAGTTTAATCTTTGTAGATAACACTTGTAATAACTACAACACATCCTCTGCTTCTTGCTTTCCCTCTAGAAATATCTACGTCTCTTTTGTTATACATGTGTGTATGTGTGTGTGTGTGCGTGTGTGGTTGTGTGTGTGTTTTTCAACCCTGACAAAATACCGTAGCAATTAATCAACATTGTAATTCAAGTCTAGGAATCTATATTGATGGTCATGCAACTGTTAAACCTGTTTAGCAATAAAATAGTTCATCCGTCTACCAAATTATCCCCGAAATGTCTCAGCTCTTCTCCAGTTAAAATGTAATAGCCAGTCCTGTTTAAAAAAAAGACTTAGTTAAGACGTAGACTTGGAGATTCCTGTTGATACGTCGATCACAGGTGTCTTCTAGATGAAGTAACCACTATAGTGGCTAATTATTGTTCCAATCCTCTTATTTGTTTTCCTATCATGATCCTCTGGGGCATTGCTTTCTAAAATCTAATTAGTTGCGACTACCTCTTATTGTAGCACCATCTTCGGCAGAACCATCATAACTAAATAACAGGGCAGTCCAAGCGGTTGTTTATCTATAGTATAGCCTATTTCACGGTTCCCTATCTCTACAGAAGCTGTAATTTTCGGTACACCTGTCTTGATTAAGACCTTATCTGTTTTGGCCATCAAACAAGCTGCGTAAATTCCAACAAGTTTGCATTGCTGACACGTGTGAACGTAATGTTTATGTTGATTTCGCAGATTTTTAGAATTCCATTGAGAAATCCTTGGATGATTAATTATGGCGCCTATATCTTGTATATTTTATGTAGCCTAAAATGCTAAATTAATATTCATGCTGTGCGTCGGGCACGCCACACAGAGACGACATGAGGACCCCTCCCCCACACCTTTTTACTCTGGCATATATATATATATATATATATATATTTTTTTTTTTCGCAGAGGGGAACCTATGTTGCCTAACCCTAATTGTTTAAGATCATCATCATCATCAGCATCATCATCGTCACCATGTTGTGCTGAACTCGTAAAAAAATATATTAATGCATTAGATTTATTATAAAAGTTTAACAGTGAAAGCCGAGATACAATTTATTGCGCTGGATGTTATCCATTATGGCCCTGACTCACTCTCTCCACAGAGAGGCTAGCGCCCCCCCCCCCTTCTTCCCCCCCCCCCCCCTGGGCCGAGAGCATCACACAAAGCACAAACTTCGTAGCTCAAGGCGACAATTCTAGGGATCAGTCAAAAATGCATTCGTGCAACGAACTCATGTTTTTTTTTTTTTTTAAAACATGAGGTAAACGGCTTATGCAATTTGGCACAGGGACCCGGAAATAAACGTGTCATGTACGATAGAATATCTGGGGAAATGATTTCTATACACCATCAAGCGTTTGCTTAGCCTCCTTGCAGAAACATTGAGAGGGAAAGCACCCCCTCCACACCCCCGCGTCCCTCCCCCTCCACAACCCCGCGTCCCTCCCCCCTCAACCATCCCAGCATCCCCCCCCCCCAATAATTTAATGTGAGCTTATCGGTCTGAACCCCCACGTACCTGCGCCCTTGTTGGGCATTGTTTCACAGATTGGCTACTTAGTTGTCGTTCTATATTTGTTATGGTTGCGCAAACTAATTCCTGCAGAGTCGCCTATTTTTCTTTTATGTTTTTGGATTTGAACCGGCCACATAAAAGTATCAATATTTAGCCAAATGGACAGTATGCTTGCCTCTCAGCCCACACACCATAGGCTCCAATCCTCAACAAGGTGATGTTTTTTTCTTCAAATTGACCCAGACTCTGACAGTTGTAGCCAGGAAATGTCTTGAGATAAAACGTAAATGGCGTGGTGAAGACCACATCGCCCAACAAACACTAGTTGGTCATATTTACGTATACAACTATGGAACTATCATCATTTGTTATAGTACACCAGAAATCGTGAAACAATTTTTTTAGTTTTTTTTTTTCTTCTTTCTATCAGCACGTTGCAAATATGGTACCTATTTATGGTCATCAGTTTGTACGCAAACTATTCCCGCTATATTACGTTAAGGATCACTGAGCCTTAGTTTTCTCATTCTCACAGAGCATATGCCCCTCTATGACAGCAGGATAGCGCTGATTCCCCTGTGTTTGTATTTAGAGAACTAATTACCAAGATAGAAGGAAACAATATGTACCATTCTTTGGTCACATCGCGAGACAGGGAAAAACTGGAATTCGTCATGACAACTTCAAAGTTGAAGGGTAAGAGAGGCTGTGGGAGACCAGAACACAAGACTTTGGACAGTCGGTGTTATAGCGTGGAGAAACATCAAAATCAGATTTTCAGAAATACTGAAAGTACATACACCAAAAGGCTGGTGCCAGACATGATCAGCAATAACACGTTGACTGGAAACAAGAGTAATTAATAACTCCCCGGTAAGATACGAGTATATATAAATGTGTGTGTGTGTTGTTGTTGCGTATCCCTTACTGGATGATGTAGAACCAACCTCAGTATTGTTATTTTTTATTGTTTGCTGTTTATGACGTCACTTGGCAATTTAACATTCAGTAGTTTACTGACGCATACTCAACGTCGGCTCTCGCAACCATTCCTAGGCGCTCTCTTGTTCAAATCGCCTGCAGGTGGGATCGAACCCATCACCCTGAAATTATAAAGCGCGTTTACAACGACTTGGCCACAGACACTTATATATATATATATATATATATATATATATATATATATATATATATATATAATATATGCTATTTTGTAATTATATAGTTTTCCCCTCTGAATATTTTGTCCGAAAGGCTCTTTAACTAAATAAAAATGACCTGTCCCAGTGTTTATGACTGGTGCGGATACGGCTGGGAATTCATGTTGGCGTTAGAATACCCGCTCGTACCACAGGGCCCTATTGTGAAGCTTTGTTCCTTCACTGCATCCAACAAAATAATGACGCCGTGTCGTTTCTTGTTGGGTTGAACACTCAAGGGACAGTACTGTTGTACATGGGTGGCCAACATATTGTGTACATATTGTAGACGATAAAAATTATAGTTTAGTTGCGTATCCTTTACAGGACGTTGCAAAACCAACCCCAGCAGCCCCTGGCTGTTGTGTGGTTTCTCTAGGCAAATTTGCGTCCAGTAGTTTGTCATTGCTTCCTGGACGGTCGGCTTCTTGATACCACTGTCGAAACCAACGCAAGGCGCATGCCCTCTGCTGGGATCGAACCCGGCAACCCCGGCATTACAAAGCGTTCTCATCGACTTAGCCACAGAGCCGACGATAAAACTTATAAGCACAACAAATCAAATATTACTTCCTGTAGTTTGTGGCTATTGTCGGCGTCTGTGGCTTATGCGTTGCGAACTCGCTTCGTAATGCTGGGTTGCCAGATCTTGCACCTTGCGTTAGTTTCGGCAGTAGTATCAAGAAGCCGACTGTCCAGAAGCGATGGCAAACTACTAGAGGTAAAAACTACAACAACCAACAAAATGATGGGGGTTCGTTTTCCAGGAACCTGTAAAGGATACGCAACTAACCTTTAGTTTGTGAGAGATTACACACCATATTTCAGAGTCCTAGTTTTGCTCTGTTTATTAGATCGCGTTCAAGTTGGTTCCTTCGTTTCAGTTTAACAATTAGCTATAGTTAACAATGATCCATACTAGGGCTGTACCGAATAGAGATTTTCACTGTTCGGCCGAATACGAATAACAGGACCAATTATTCGGCCGAATACAAATACGATGTATAGTGTACAAAATATATCTAAAAAAAAAAAACATGCATAATGTCAAATGTACGCTGGTATTTTACTTCACATAAAGTAGCACAGAATAGTCATCTTTTTCTTTAGCATTCTGAGCCCTTGAGGTTTACTGCTGCAGATATCACTCGTCTCTATTCATCTCTCTGGCTGGCCTTCTCTTCACAATTTGTGACACCAGTTGTTTGCAGGTCTGGCTGGCATTATCTCTCGAACTTCTTTTTTGTCTGCCTTGTGGTCTTCGCCCGTTCCTCTCTCAGGTGTATACAGTTTTACTTCTCTGACATTCTTTCAATATGCCCCAACCATTTTAGTCTGTTAGCTCTCATGATGCCAGTGATCAATGGTGATTTAAACAGATTAGGTGTAACTTTGTTGCTTCTCACTCTCCATTTCCGGCTGTTTGCATCTTTGATGGCTACAAAGATTTGTCACAAGACTGCTTTCGAAAACCTGTAAAAAGGCATCATCTCTTTTATTTCTGCTACAAGTTTTAGAGCCAAATAAAACGACTTGCCTTATCAATGTTTTATATATTTTGATCTTGGTGTTGCGAGACAGCACTTTGACTTTAGCAGATGTTAAAGGGCATAGTATACTTTATTTCTAGATCGTATTTCTCCTCTCAGCAAGTT